TTTTTTTTTTTTTTACACTGTTCTTCAAAATGATATCCCGATAAACCTGTCACGGTCGTCCGAGGGTTAAAAGAAAGGTGCGCTTCGTTGCACCGATAAGTAAAAGGAAAAAGAAAGGTGCGCTTCGTTGCGCCGACAAGTAAGAGGAAAAAGAAAGGAAAGGAAAGGAAGAGGAGAGGAGAGATTTTGCATGAAGGTACACGAGACCAGATTGCGCAAGGTAGTAAAGTAATCAGAAAAAAAATCTGGAGCATATCAGTGCACGTGTCGAAAGAGAAAACGCTCCTCTCCAGATTGCGTGTAATAACATGTAAAAACGATTCCCGCAGCTGGCTGGTGCCACCAGCTGGTCTGTGCTGGCACCTTCTGGGCCATTCTTTTCGAAAACGAAAAGGCGAAATTAAAAAAAAAAGAAGAAGACAAAAATAAGAAGACTAAAAAAAAAAAAAAAGGAGAGAAAGAAAAAGTGAAAAGAGAGCAAAAGGTAACGCCGTGTAACTGATAGTTTCATTAATAAAAATGACATTGGCCAAGAAGCAAGACTGGGCAGCTGGTGTCGCGGGCACGTTTTTATCACCTGGCACCATCGAATTATCGTGTATCGAATTTACTAAATGAGCCCGTAAAAAGTGCACATCCGGAGGTGCACTGATTCCTCTGCATATTTCAGCAGAAGAAAGCAAAATGAGCGGCTGGCATATCGAGACGCTCACGGTTTAACCGCGTGCTTTCATTTGTGGTGAAAGGTCGATGAAGAATAAAGTGGGTCCTGTTTGTTCCATCGGCGCTTCTTGCATCTTTCTTGTTTCCATCAGAAATAACAAGCGATCCGACTGTACAGGGTGGTTTGCGAATCGGTCACTACGATATTTGTAATTAGTATGCGGATTTGAAATCGAAATTTATTCCATCCATGAAATATTATAGTACGTACTGTACTCTGGCTATTTTTTATATATTTTTACGTATTATATATTGCACCTTTTCGTAAACAATAACTGCGAAAGTATGTATATCATTTTTCATAAAAGATTAAATCACGTTACGTTTTTCAAGTGGTATCACACAATTGTTTCATATTCATGTAAGACACACTAGATTGATCGATTGAAACTATAAATTATAAGATTAAAATTGTCGAAAGAATTGATTGTTATTAAAAATTTAATTGATGAATTATGAATTTCAAACGTTATATTTCGCCTGAATGTCAAACAGAAAGATTTGTAATGAAATAATCTTTTTGATAAGTCGTTCAAAAAATTCATAAAACACTTGAAGAGAAATATTTAATATTGAAAATCAAATTGTAAAGACATTGGAAGAATATTTCAATAATTGCACTTTTAATTTATATTTCTATTTTTTAATCTATACTTCTAAGAATGTAACAAAAAAAATAAAATTTGAATATAAATTCGTTTTCAGTATGCATTAAAGATTAATAAAGATTTGCACATACTTATATTGCATATAATTTGCATTTTTAAATTTTTTTAAATTTCCAAATGCCGCAATCTGTTAACAACACAAATAAAAAATTTATTGGCAACAAATAAATTGCCAAGTAAATAAAAGAAAAACATCATAAATAACATTATGACCACTGTATTCCAATTAAAACAATTTCTTTGTCAAGGAATAAAAAAAATAAAATTTGAATATAAATTCGTTTTGAGTATGTATTAAAGATTAATAAAGATTTGCACATACTTATATTGCATATAATTTGCATTTTTAAATTTTTTTAAATTTCCAAATGCCGCAATCTGTTAACAACACAAATAAAAAATTTATTGGCAACAAATAAATTGCCAAGTAAATAAAAGAAAAACATTATGACCAATTAAAACAATTTCTTTGTCAAGGAATAAAAACTGCAATTGACTTTCTAGTCTATAAACAAAATGATAGTCTTCGTTGATAAATGAATTTTTTGTTTCAAACATTTTATGAATGTTTTGTAGAATCAAGAAATTTCATGCTTCAACGATGTGCCTATTAAGATAATAAAATAACTAATGGAATGGAAGAGCAACATTATTCGACAATTTAAATAAATTGTCGGCCCGCAATTGCTTCTAATATAACATGCTCGATCGGATCGAATGCACGAAGAAGATAATTGTCTGCAAACGATTAACGGAGGCCTAGTTTTGTCAATCGATTTCGATACCATTTCTAACCACGTGACGTCTTGACGGTTCAAAACAATTTCTGCTCTACTTGCATCAGCAACGAAACATTCTTTCTTTACGATTGACACGGTAGATAGCAGATTTCAGCCATGAAACAAGAAACAGGATCGGCAAAGCTACCGAGCGGGTTAACCTTTTAACCGAGTGATTCAGTGAATGACCAATATTTCATGTCCTTTGCATGCGCACACTAGAATCAATAAGAGAACAATTTGTATCGATTGCATGTGCATTATTTGCAAATTCGCTTGCAAGATA